CTGTAAAGTACGCTCAATAGCTGTTATGGAATTCCTGCTGTACATCATAAAGGTCGTCAAGGAGATTTTTACATTCTGGTAAGCTTTTAGTATGAGCCTAGTTACACGTCAAGATAACTCAGGTATCGTTTATGAAGAAACATTTATAATTATTTCAGGTCATGGACATGCTTGGCCCTAGCCTCTGGGATGTTTGGAATTCTTCTTCTCAGTCGTAAGCACTTTGATCATGCTTTATTTTGTACCTGCCATTCTCATGCAGATATGCTAAATTTATTATCATATATGTGGTAGGATGTCTCCAAACATGGTAGCGTGCATTGCGGTGGAGGCGATATCTATTCTTGAGAAGCTGCATATGAAGGGGTTAGTGCGAATTTTTGTTGTTGCCAACTTTTAGCAAATAATTCCATTTATTTCGAACAAAAAAGTTTACATATACAGCCAAAATTTGCTATCATTGAGCTGACTGTCATGCCATGTTCCTTTCATACATCAAATAAGGTTTGTTCATGGAGATGTGAAACCGGAAAACTTTTTACTTGGTCAGCCTGGAACTCCAGACGAGAAGAAACTATACCTTATCGATCTTGGTCTAGGTGAGTTTCTGTAATATGTTTATAAACAACATGACTCGTTGTGTTTTGCAGCTGTTTTTATCTCGCTTTTATCTATGCAAAGTTTTGTGGAATCTATGTAATCGTTTTATTTTCATAATGTTTTCAGCTTCAAGATGGAAAGATTCTCACTCTGGCCAGCATGTTGAATATGATCAAAGACCAGATGTGTTCAGGTATTTTGATTTGTGTATGTTATCTTTCCTACATTTTTTGTGTATATATATGCTGCTTACATCTTTATTGTGCTTCATATGCAGGGGAACGATAAGGTATGCAAGTTGTCATGCACATCTTGGTCGTACTGGAAGTCGGAGGGATGATCTGGAGTCATTGGCTTATACATTAATATTTCTGATGCGGGGAAGGTTGCCATGGCAAGGGTACCAGGTGAGTTTTTTTGTCTCTCTATTCATAACCTAAAACCTTGTAACTTTCAGTTCTAATCAATGATATATATTGTATTTTTGTACGCAGGGTGACAACAAGAGCTTTCTTGTTTGCAAGAAAAAGATGTCAACCTCTCCTGAATTGATGTGCTGTTTTTGTCCTCCCCCGTTTAAGCTGTTCCTCGAGGCAGTTACTAATATGAAGTTTGATGAGGAGCCCAACTATGCCAAGCTTATCTCGATTTTTGATACTCTTATCGAGCCATGTGCTATATCTAGACCAATTAGAATTGATGGGGCTCTTAAGGTAGTTCTTTGGTTCCTATGGTTATTTTTACTATTCAATAATAATTCAACTAGTGCTGATATTTTGCTTTTGTATGAATAGGTTGGCCAAAAACGAGGAAGATTGCTAATTAATTTGGAAGAGGATGAACAGCCGAGGAAGAAAATCAGAATCGGCAGTCCTGCTACCCAGTGGATTTCAGTTTATAATGCACGGCGTCCTATGAAACAGAGGTAACTCTTACACATTTGAATGTTTTCCTCTTCACTCATTTCTTGAGTATAAAGGTTTGAAAACCTTCATTAATAAAATTCCTCTTTGTAACTGACTAGTTTGTCCTGCAGTCTCTAGCAAAACATATTATTTAGGCTTGCGTTTATTGTGGCTTTAGTTATTACCTATTTGAGAAAAAGTAATAATGCGTTATTACCTTTTTGGGAAAGATTAATAATGCGGGATGGGGAATATACTGACTTAAAGTACTTGATCAGAACTTTTAAGTCTTTTGGTTGATAAAAAAAGGAGATAATATTTTGTACTTTCTTTAAACCCTAAAAGTATAAATAGATATGTATATATTGGTACATTGCATGGCTTTCTTTTGCGTAACCGGTCAATCTTTGTTGCTCTTGTAGATATCATTACAATGTTGCAGACTCAAGGCTGCACCAGCATGTAGAGAAAGGTAACGAGGATGGTCTTTTCATAAGCTGTGTAGCATCAGCAGCTAATCTCTGGGCACTCATCATGGATGCTGGGACGGGTTTCTCCTCTCAAGTTTACGAATTGTCCACGGTCTTCCTGCACAAGGTATATCAGCTGAATCGTAGGGTACATACGCATATATCTGTTATGACTATGCTAGACTCCAGCAACTCACCATTTGTTTTTGGATTCTTTGTAGGACTGGATTATGGAACAATGGGAAAAGAACTACTATATCAGTTCCATAGCTGGTGCAAATAACGGGAGCTCATTGGTTGTTATGTCGAAAGGTTGGTATTCATGTCTGAGGATTGGTTATCGATTCATTGGGGGGCATGAAGCCTTTTTACTTATTCAACTTCATGTAATGCTGTAGGAACTCCTTATACCCAGCAATCTTACAAAGTCAGTGACTCATTCCCATTCAAGTGGATAAATAAAAAATGGAAAGAAGGGTTTCATGTAACGTCTATGACCACCGCTGGGAGTCGTTGGGGTGTAGTAATGTCCAGGAACTCAGGCTATTCTGAACAGGTTCCAAATCTCTTAACCTGAGACAGTTCAACATTTCTTTTTTTTGGGCACTATTAAGTTATTAATAATGTCTCTGTTGTGTATATTATTAGGTAGTGGAGCTTGACTTTTTGTACCCAAGTGAAGGAATCCATCGAAGGTGGGAGAGTGGGTACAGGATAACATCAATGGCTGCAACAGCAGAACAAGCAGCTCTTATATTGAGTATACCTAAACGAAAAATAACCGATGAAACCCAAGAGACTCTTCGCACTTCTGCCTTCCCGAGCACCCATGTCAAGGTTTGTTGTTGTTAGCCATTTCAGGAAACAAATACACATAATAAACTAACTTTACAACATCCTTCTCCATTGGTGTTCTCTGTACTAACTTGGATGTGCACTCTTGTTTCAGGACAAATGGGCGAAAAATCTGTACATTGCCTCAATATGCTATGGTCGAACAGTATGCTGAGTAAATGCAGAGTATACTGTTTCGACCTCTCTCACTCTCGCATTAGAAGGTTTCAGGGATGATCTTCTCTAGAAGCCTTACGACTTTTGAAGCTTCGGTTTCAGTACAATCCAAAGGTAAACCTTAACCAGGAGCCAACCTGTGTGACTGTTTGTAATGAAATATGAAATTTCTCTCGTATGTATGTAGTAAGTACAAGATATAAGAAACATGAAAAAAGAGAGTAGAAGAGAAGCATTATTATTAGAATTGAGAGCTGGAAAAAATTATGCTGTTTCTGGCTTATTTTAGCTCTACCTGATTTGAGTACAGAATCAGGAAGAAGCAACATGTTTGTTATAATGAACATATAAAGCTAACTAGGCTTTGATCTTTTGGTCTTAAGCCTTTGCTTCAAAGTTTTTACTTTTCCTTCTTTTATGATCTTAAGAGGAGCCAACTAATGCAAGATTTTAACTGGTGAATATCACTGAATTTTCAAAGATTGGTCTAATGTGGTAACAAATTTGGAGTCGACAGGTTTTAGTCAACATGATGGAATTTCAACTCTCCATTTTAGATTGCATACAGAAAGAAAGACCCTACAAAGTCAACAATTTGTTCTTTAGTGCGTTCGAAAAGATTACACATCACAATCACTGACAATGAACAGACACATTGTTAGGGATTTTAGTCTTTCAAGTTTTAACTGTATCTTCTCAGTCTTGTAATTATAAAACAAGACAAAGAAGAAGAGCGAGTGGCAAAAGGCAAAAAAGCTCTGAGAAAAATGGTGAAGCCTTGTTTTCACTCCTGT